TTATCTTCCATCATAAGTCTATAATAATCTGTGGTCCACTGTCTCCACTACCATTTATAAGATTAGCATGCACTGCGGATTTACAATTACAGAAATATGCAAATCATACAGTGCATTCTCACTGGGGACAGAGACTGGCAAGTATTAGGAAAGGTGTATGTTACTGCCTGCTATCTCCTGAGATGTATGCTTTCCTCTTTAAACAAAAAACAAAACCTCCCTCTCTGTTTTATAGAATATTTAATTATATGGGCTGCTGAAGCCCAACAATTTCAAAGTTATAAACATTTACTTTTTATGCATCATGCTTTCAGCATAATTTACTTTTATTCCTCAACATAATCATATCTTTGCAGTTTGGGGGAGGAACGACAAAAGAGTGTGCTGTTGCAAAGTTCCAAAATGTTGCTCTTTTCTCTGGAATTCAGTATGAGTACACACGTGTACCATATTTCCAAGCAGGGAGACATTTCAAGGCCTTCATTTTCCTACAAATAGGATATCATTACCATGATCCTTGCTTTATTTGAATGCATAAATACATAAACTGGCAGAATATTTACACCTAAATCTCTATTTCCTATCTAATTTCTGATTATCGGCTGTGAAGTTCTTGACACAGTTAACACTAATCAGGGAATCAGAAAAAGTCTTGCATTTTGACCAATGCTTAATCCAGAATCATCTGTGGAAAGAAAACAAATAATGACATATCCATGATGATGTCATCATACAATCAGTGCACAATCATATGTGTGTTGTCATTTTAGTGTCACTGCAGTTTGTTGAAGTTACTGCTGCTAAAATACATAATATGGATTTGATTCCTTAGTAAGCTATCTTTATATTATTATCACTGGGATTGAACAGCATGTTGCCCCATTTCCATATAGAGCAGAGATGTCAAACTCACAATGTCATGTGACGTTGTGCAACTTATTGGGACAGTTTTGCCATTGCCGGCAATGGGTTAAGTGCAGCTTCCGTGTGATGCATCCGGGGACCGGCAGTTTGACACCCCTGATATAGAGAGTATAGTGCTTTGGAAATAGAAGAAGGGCCCTTAGCAGAAAGAACTGGATTGGCTGGAGATGAAGAATGAGACAGAAGCGCTGGCTCCTCTGATCCAAGTAAACAATTCAGCCAAATATTTGATGTGTTAAACAAACAATGGTGAAACAAATCATGATTTTGAATACCATAGGAACTCAATCATGCTCACAGAAAAACAACTTGTTTATCTCCCAATGAGCCAATGATTTAAAATAAGTTCTTGCAGTTTTGTAGTAAATCCATTTTTTTAAGTTTGCCAATGTATTAATAGGAAGGGAGCAAATTCAGCTCCAATTCTCAACATGGCTAGGTGGGGTATAAACAATTCAAAATATTGTACATCTAAGTTTATTTCTAGAACAGAAGTATTGGGGCACTTTGGGAAATAATCATTTCCAGAGCAATACCAGCATCTGGATGCTTCCTTGCAGTACCATGTTCAAAGGAAAAAAAATGGAGAACAGAGCATCCGGGTAAAAAAAAAAAAAATCTCTGAATGCCTAGCTAATTTCCTTTCTTGTTAGCTATGTAGCTAGAGTTAGAAAGTTCAATGGATTAAAAAAAAAACATCTTTCTACATTTATGTTCCTAACTCATTCCCTGGCAGGGAGTAGGAACAATTCATCAAAGTGGCAGGTACTTAAATAATCACAGAACAAATTCCATGCAGCTACCAGCTGGGATTAGCCATCAAAATGTTGGATTTAAATGGTCTATGATATGCAATTCACATTTGGACTGAAATCTAAAAAAAATCTGTATATTCATGGAATATTGGTATGATTGAATGCTTGATCATGTCTCTTTGTCATTATGTTTAACAGAGTTAGGTTTTTCTGCAACCTGTGGAATTTTTCTTATAGCTATTCATCAATGGCTAACCGGCTGCACTCAGAGTGTGGTCCTCAATGGAACTGCATCTACATGGAGGGAAGTGTGTAGTGGAGTGCCCCAGGGCTCTGTTCTGGGCCCAGTGCTCTTCAACATCTTTATCAACAATTTGGACGAGGGGATAGATGGGGAACTCATCAAATTTGCAGACGACACCAAGCTGGAAGGAATAGCCAACACTCCAGAAGACAGGCTTAAGATACAGAAGGATCTGGACAGACTTGAACACTGGGCACTAACTAACAAAATGAAATTCAATGGTGAAAAAAGCAAGGTTCTACATTAGGCAAGAAAACCAAATGCACAGATATAGTATAAGGGGCACCATGCTCAATATAGTAACTGTGAGAGGGACCTCGGAGTCCTAGTAGACAATCACTTAAATATGAGCCAGCAGTGTGCTGCAGCTGCCAAAAAGGCCAACAAGTGCTAGGCTGCATTAACAGAGGGATAGAATCAAGATCACGTGAAGTATTAATACCACTCTACAATGCCTTGGTAAGGCCACACTTGGAATACTGCATCCAGTTTTGGTCACCACGATGTAAAAAAGATGTTGAGACTCTAGAAAGAGTACAGAGAAGAGCAAACAAAGATGATTAGGGGACTGGAGGCTAAAACATATAAGGAACGGTTGCTAGACTTGGTTATGTCTAGTTTAACGAAGAGAAGGACAAGGGGGGGGACATGATAGCAGTATTCCAATATCTCAGGGGCTGCCATAAAGAAGAGGGGTGTCAAGCGATTTTCCAAGGCGCCTGAAGGGCAGGAAAAGAAGCAACGGGTGGAAAAACTAAGCAGGAGAGAAGCAACCTAGACTAAGGAGAAACTTCTGACAGTTAGAACAGTTAACCAGTGGAAACCACCTGCATCCAGAAACGGTGATTGCTCCAACACTGGAGATTTTTAAGAAGAGATGGACAGCCATTTGTCCGAAATGGTATAGGGTTACCTGCCTGAGCAGGGGGTTGGACTAGATGACTTCCAAGGTCCCTTCCAACTTTACTACTACTACTACTACTACTACTACTACTACTACTACTACTACTATTATTATTATTATTATATTCAACAAAAAAGACCACTCCATGGAAGGGAGCAGAAGAAAGTTGTCTTGAGTAATTCGATTAAGATCAGCTAGATCTAGATCGGGATGTCAAACTTGCAACGTCACATGACGTGTCGTGACATAATGTGACTTTTTTTCCATTGCTGGCAATAGGGTGGGCACGATTTCAGCATGATGCATCTGGCCCCTGGGCTGGCTGTGTGATACCCCTGATCTAGATTAAAGCCAAACTTCAGCCACAGAACCTCATGAGATGACTGGTCAATCAGCCCTCTTTGCAACCTTTTTCATGTGGTTGTTGTGACAAAGAAATGGAGGAAGTACACTGTATGACATCTCAGATTCCTGAAGGAAAGGTAATCTTTAAGTATGACAACAAATAATTCAGAAAAAAATTAATTTTAATTGATAACTAAATTCCAATTTATGTATTGGTTCAAAATACAAAATACTTTCTGCTTGCAAACAAATGGAAATGAAATAGATTTCTCCCTTCCTAATTAGTTGCAGATAATACATGTTACATTGGCTTAACCTCTATGTATCATCACAAACTTTTCCTCTAACATTTAGACAATGAACTATATGAGTTCCTGTACATATGTTTTTGCTTGCAGTACTTAATGTCTGATAATCCAGCCTGGAATCTTGTAAAGTGTAATGTGATCTCTAGTAGGCAACTTAAGATGCTTGTAAATCCCTTCTCCTTAAGTATTATTGACTATTACTATCATTAAACTTGCTTTTTTAATATGCTCAATATTTTATAAATGTCTTTCTTAATACATGTGTGCGTGCATATGTGTGCTTACATATATCTGCAGACATATAGGATAAATCAGATGTCATTATAGACCTAAATTATAATTCCAAACATGTCCTTCCAAACATGACTTGTAAACTGCTCAGAGTTATTTAGGTGAGATAGGCAGCCATACAAACCAAACCAAACCAAACCAAACCAAACCAAACCAAACCAAAATATATTTGTATGAGTAGCCATTGAATGTTTGGGGTGGCTTAATAAACAAAAAAGGCAGCTTCTTGTATGTGCTTTTAGCACTTTATCTGGAGGAAATGGAATAGGAGGGGAACCATTTCTGTTTTTGTTCAACCAGTATAATAATCCTTTCCTGTTGATTTTTTCAGTAAGCAAATATTTGTGTTTTCCTATCTGTAATGTTTGTTTATGGAACAGTGGATAGGGCATTGAGGGTGGGTAGGTGACGTTTTTCAGTTGGCAATTGACAATGGGCAGCTGGATCAAAGTGGGCATAACTTCTTGAGGAATGCTTACAGGAGAGGTGACCACCCTAAACTAGTGCTTCTGGGCTGCAAGGCAAATGTATCATGGAGATAAAGAGGTCGGCAAAAAGGGAGAACTATTAATATGTGACCAAACTTTTCTATGCTGCATAGAAGGAGACTGGTGTGGAGGGAATGTCTACATAAGATAATTCCATGTCTACAGAATACAATTGCTTCTCCAGGTGTACCATTATCTTCTCCAGGATGAGTTTGGACTTCCCAGTCTAGCCTACAGGTCTAGGATTTTCTAATGCTCTCTGAGTTAAATACTAACCATATCCAACTCTGCTTAAATTTAGATGAAAGAATAATAATATTAAAAATGCTTGGACACAACATCTGTTTTTTACTGTAATTTAAACACTTCAGATATGTGCAAGGCACACTTATACAACACACTTACGTGCTCAGTAATATATGAGAACCGTACAAATATTTATAGATGTAACTGTTTCAAAATATTTTCCTATGCATTGTATTTTGGCATCTTGGGGATGGGAAATATTGGTCATAAGGAAGATATTTTGAGATGGTACACAAATCATGTAATCTCTCCCTCTCTCTCTCTCTCTTTCCCTCTCTCTCTCTCTTTCCCTCTCTCTCTCTTTCTCCCCTCCTTCCCTCCCTCTCTCCCTCCCTCTCCCTCTCCTTCTCCCTCTCTCTTTTTCTGTCTATGCAGGGAGGAATCAATGACATCAAAATAATGAACACAATCTGGTAATTTAAACCCACTCCCTTTGTATATGTATACATTGTGTGCAACACATATTCAAAAGAGGCAAGGCTTCAATCACTCAGTTGTGACAATAAAAAATAAAGCCACAATATGATAAACCCAAGTTAAATCCATGAATATTAAAAATAAATTAAAAAACATTTAACAAGTTAAACCCATTTCAAAGATGTGTGTTAATGCTTTCTAAAAAAAAAAACAAACCAAGAACTCAACCCTTGAAGTCAGCTAAAAGAACATTCCAGAGACCTGGACAGAGACCTCATGAAGACTGAGTCTGAATCACTGAAGGAAAACTCATAACAACTAGAGCAAAACTTATCAGATGATCCTTATCAGTCTTTCTATTGGGATTTCAAGGACTTCGCAATGAAATTTTTTTCCCTTTACTCAGGACACTTGTACTTTGCTGAAAAGCAAGTCCAAGACTTGCAATGCTTTTCAGAGACTTTTAAATCTCTTTAATTCAGGATTAAAAATGATGTCAGTCGTTCTTGTGAACTCTGGTTCTGCAAACTCTTTTGTACAATTTAATATCTTTGTTTAAAAAGTCCACCCAAGAGAAGGGGACGCCTCATCAAACCAGACCTATTATAGAACTGCAGAACTATGTGGCAGCCTATCACCAGCTGCAGCACCTCTGAATTTATGGCTAAACAAATGTTGCAAGCTCACAGATGAAGGCATGTCAGTTGTTGACTTGTTGCCCTACAACTTGCGTAAGTGCTATAATTGAAATCCTGAGTTCATGTGGCTGTGGGAAAAGGAACAAATTCAGAATGAATGCTTTCCATGCTAGGGATCATGGAGTATAGTGTGGGCTCTTCCTGAATAGATGCAGAAAATTTATGGAATTTTAAAAATGGAATTTTTAAAGACAGTCTAGATGGACAAGAAGGCAATAGACATAAAGATAAACTAGTAAAGTATTTTCAGAGTGCATTTAAAGTGGCTGCCAGTAAAATCAGTGTGAATGTTTAATCTGGCAATTAAGATAATGAATTACATCAGCCACATTTTGTGCACATGGATGGGGAAACCCAACTGTTCTAAGTGAAACATTGGGTGAGGCTGAATGCTCTTGAAAAGTAAGCAGGATGACTGTATTTTCTTGTCTTGGCTGTTTCTACCACACTACTTAAACATAATATATAATTGAATTAAATCATGCTATCATAACTGAGATATTAAAAATAAAAGTGAAAGTATGAACAGTTTTTCTCTGAATAAAAATGAATTAAAAAAAATGAAGATGAACAAAAAGGTTTTGTTAATACGTTCAGAATTGGTTGACAGTAGCAAACCTTTGTGGTTGTAGTTGTTGGCTTAAAACATATGTTGATTTTAACTACTTGTATTATTAACTGTGATAGCCTATGAATATGTAATACATAACTCATATTAATCTATGAGATGCTAAGGAACTTCCTGGGAAGGCTGTTTAACCATTACTATGCAAAGGTCTAAGCACTATATGTGGATAGCGTTCCATTGAATATAATGTGAAAAAATTTAGACACACTGCATGACTATACTAGCTATAATTTGGGACCAAAGGATTATTTCATGCCCTGGAGTCTGGACTATGAGTATCTAGAACTAAGTCAGAATATCAGCAAATAGCCCGAGCCTGCAAAGATGAAGTGAAGAAAGCCAAGGCTCAAAATGAACTGAGGCTTGCGACCAAAGTCAAAAATAACAAAAAAAGCTTCTTTCAACATGTAAAAAACAAGAAAAAAGTGAAGGAAATGATTGGTCCATTAGTGGGTGGAAGTGGCAAGAAGGTGACAAGCAACAGGGAGAAAGCAGAACTATTTAACTCATTTTTTGCATCTGTCTTTACACAAAGGGAAAAAACAGACCAACCTATCAAAAATAGTGCCACAAAAAACAAAACAGAAACACAAGTTAAGATAGGCAAGAAAATCGTTAGTGAGCACCTGTCCAGCCTAGATGAGTTCAAATCGCCAGGACCAGACGGATTACACCCCAGAGTTCTCAAGGAACTGGCAGATGTGATATCGGAGCCACTGAACTATATTTTTCAAAGATCCTGGAACACAGGGGAACTACCAGAGGACTGGAAAAGAGCTGATGTAGTTCCCATCCTCAAAAAAGGAAAAAAAATGGATCCAGGAAATTACAGACCTATCAGCCTGACCTCAATACCTGGGAAGATCCTGGAAAAGATAATCAAACAACGAATCAACGAACACCTAGAGGCAAACAAAGTCATTACTAAAAGCCAACATGGGTTTGTCAAAAATAGATCATGCCAGACAAATCTTATTGCATTCTTTGACCAAGTGACAAAATTAGTGGATCAGAGGAATGCTGTGGACATAATTTACTTGGACTTCAGTAAGGCATTTGATAAAGTAGATCACAACCTACTACTTGACAAGATAGAAAAATGTGGGGTAGACAGAACCACCACCAGATGGATCCGTAGCTGGCTGACCGGCCGTACTCAGCGAGTGGTCCTCAATGGAACTGCATCTATATGGAGGGAAGTGTGTAGTGGGGTGCCCCAGGGCTCTGTTCTGGGCCCAGTACTCTTCAACATCTTCATCAACGATTTGGATGAAGGGATAGATGGGGAACTCATCAAATTTGCAGACGACACCAAGCTGGCAGGAATAGCCAACACTCCAGAAGACAGGCTTCAGATACAGAAGGATCTGGACAGACTTGAACACTGGGCACTAACTAACAAAATGAAATTCAATGGTGAAAAAAGCAAGGTTCTACATTTAGGCAAGAAAAACCAAATGCACAAGTACAGCATAGGTGGCACCATGCTCAATAGTAGTAACTGTGAGAGGGACCTCGGAGTCCTAGTAGACAATCACTTAAATATGAGCCAGCAGTGTGCTGCAGCTGCCAAAAAGGCCAACACAGTGCTAGGCTGCATTAACAGAGGGATAGAATCAAGATCACGTGAAGTATTAATACCACTCTTCAATGCCTTGGTAAGGCCACACTTGGAATACTGCATCCAGTTTTGGTCACCACGATGTAAAAAAGATGTTGAGACTCTAGAAAGAGTACAGAGAAGAGCAACAAAGATGATTAGGGGACTGGAGGCTAAAACATATAAGGAACGGTTGCGAGAATTGGGTATGTCTAGTTTAACGAAGAGAAGGACAAGGGGGGACATGATAGCAGTATTCCAATATCTCAGGGGCTGCCATAAAGAAGAGGGAATTAAGCTATTTTCCAAAGCACCTGAAGGCAGGACAAGAAGCAACGGGTGGAAACTAATCAAGGAGAGAAGCAACCTAGAACTAAGGAGAAACTTCCTGACAGTGAGAACAATTAATCAGTGGAACAGCTTGCCTCCAGAAGCAGTAAATGCTCCAACACTGGAAGTTTTTAAGAAGAGACTGGACAGCCATTTGTCCGAAATGGTGTAGGGTTTCCTGCCCGACCAGGGGGTTGGACTAGATGACCTCCAAGGTCCCTTCCAACTTTACTACTATTACTAGTTTGCTTCTTTATGTGTAATAAGAGTAATTAGCAGGAAAATAAAGAACCATTATGCTTATTTCCTTTTTTAAATTCCTTTATTACCAAAGATAAAATGCAAAACAAAGAAAAGGAAAAACAAAAAACAAAAACAAAAACAAAACAGATTAACAAACAAAGAGAAAAAAACAGGTGTACAAAAACCCCTCAAATATCAAATACATCTAACATTAAACATAAGAAAAAAATCCATCCCGGCTGAAAGATGCATAAAAAATCTAATATCTTCCCCTCCTATTACATAATGGGTCTATAATAGTTATAAACTTTCCCATCTATATTTAACAAAAATGCTATATTACGTAAACAAATATCCCTGATGTGAAAATCTATATATCTAATAATTGAATCGACCCAACATCTTTACACACACACACACACACACACACACACAGAGAGAGAGAGAGAGAGAGAGAATATGTATGTCTGTGTATGTTTGTACATATGTGTGTGTGTGTGTGTGTAAAAACAGTCAATAGGTTACCCTAAAATTAAAACCAATCTTCAAATCCTTCTGTTAACCATCAGCCATTGTATTTAACATGTAGAAAATCCATAAACAGTTTCCAGTCTCTTATAAATTTGTCCAATCAGATTTTGTCTCTAATCAGATTTTGCCATCTCCGCTAATTCAGTCAATTTTAAAATCCATTTTTCACTAATCAGCATCCCCTTTTCTTTCCAATGCTTAGCATATACAATCCTCACAGCAGTCACCATGTAAAGAAATATCCCAAATTGGTTTTAGATTGGTTTGTCCATAATACCTAGAAGAAAAACTTCAGGTTTAATTAATATTTATATTTTAAGTATTTTCTGCATTGTCAATATTGTATTTGTACAATATACTATTTACAAGACCATCACATATGATAGAATATACCTGGATTTTGGTTGCATTTCCAACACTTGTTTGAAATCCCTCTATACATTTTCACCAGTCTATCTGGAGTCAAATACCAGCAGTACATCATCTTATAAAAATTTTCTTTCAGATTGTAATTCAAAGTGAATTTTAAACCATTGTTCCATACATTCTCCCATTGATCTAGCATTACATCGCAGCCAAAGTTTTTCATCCATTTTATAATACAATCTTTAACAAATTCATCTTCCACATTCATCTTAAATAACATTTTATAAACTTTGGCAATCAGGTGGTTATCTCCAGAGCATAAATCCAAGTTGGATTTCACTTCTGCAAATACAAAACATTTTTATCAAGTTTAAATCTTTCAAAAATTCTATAATAATTAAGCCAATCACAAATGAATTCTTAACTTACTAATTGTTCTGTTGTTTTTATCTTAAATCCCTCTTCTTCAAATATCAGTAGATCTCAATATGTCATCTATTTAGAATCCAATAGTATGTCTTTTCTGTGCAGTGCTTCATGGGGTGATAACCAGTGACACTTTGTTAGCCAAGCTTATTTTATATTTCACCATACATGCCCAATCGATTGTCTAATAACCTAATTCTTAAAACCAGGCTTAACTTATTTGCATTACAAATAAACATGCCATCCAAATCTCAACTCAGAACCTTCAAGACCTAATGATGTCAAGTTTTTCAATATTATCCAATCTTTTAACCATGCCAAACAACAAGTTTTGTAATACAATCTGAGATCTAGCAAATTCAGACCTCCTCTTTCTTTAGCAACTTGTAGGAGTTTATATTTTGTTCTTGTTTTTTTGTTTCATTAATAAATTTGGATATTTCTTTCTGCCACTATTTAAAAGAAGAATCTTTAATCAATATAGATATAGTCTGGGGAAAAAAAAATAACATTCTGGGGAGTATGTTCATCTTAATTACTGAAATTCATCCCATTAATGACAAATCTAGTTGTTCCCATCTATGTAAGGTAGAACCATTGGGTTTATTTCCATACTTTCTCATTTGCAGGTCCTATATATATATATATTTAGAATGACTGAAGAGAGATCCTACCTAGTTAATGGTCAGTTCACCTGGGCAAAAGTTTTTTGCTTATGTCATTTAGGATTAGATTGTATTCTCCTTTTAAAAAAAACATGGACTGGGATGCCATCAGATCTACTTCTGGCTTTAGATGGCTTACCTAAATGGTATCTATGGCATGAAAAACCTTTTCCAACTAAGGCCAATATGCTAACCAAGACCCTCTAATGGACAGAAATAGCCTGGCCCTCTTATCCATGCGTTG